GGAATATGGCCTTTTTGTTAATGGAATGGCAGCAATCTTAGGGAACAAATCTTAACAGAAACATATTCTCAGCAAATCTGAATTTCATTATGTTCAAGGTACAACATGGCTGATTATATTGCTACATACCTTTGAACTGATGTTAGAGGCAGTTCTTGGGAGCCCTCCTTTAGCTAAATTCTGTTTTGTGTAACTTAATGCATCCTAAGCTATTTTTGTTAAATCCCTTGTAATCTGCTTTTTTTATTTCCTATTTAAGATGTACAAACCACCATTTAATAACAAAGATATTCTGTTGCTAACATTCTAATAAGAAGGAGTATCAAAATGAAAGTGGTTGTCCTCAAAACCCATGACCCGGAAAAGGCTCATTAAGAAGGGTTTTCTCCTTATGCTCCAGACTCAAATACACAATCTTTCCAGCTGCAACCCAGAAGCACTATCATTTCCTCCCAATAGCAAGTTTTGATAAACGAGTTTAAATATTGATTTTTTGAGACATGGATAAATAACAATGGGAATTTAGTACCTCTATGAATACCTTTAAATATTTCTAATGTGTTCAAACCAGAACTGCTCAACTCATTGCATATACAAGAAAGGCCATATTAATAGATGTCTCTGGGAAATGTTATAATACAATTCACTCCATTTAACATACAGATCTCTAGACAGAGTGACTTCATCTAGTCAACCCTTTTAAGAAGATAATACACAACCTGACAATGCGTGAAATCACACTTCACTGAGTATTTTCCTTTCACTAACTATATTATGAAGTTTTTTTTGTGTGTGTGTATTCAGTTTTTCCCAAGCATTTAAGCCCTTACTATGAGCATAGAAGCTCACATTTTATTTAATTTAAATAGTTGGGAAGTTCTTAATTGCAAAGTATATTGGGAGAGTATGTAAAGAATATTGACTTATTGGGCTTTAAATTAAACTATACTATGTCATTAGTAAGTATTGCTTCTTTTTAAAAGATATAATTTGTTTTTTAATTACATAGTGTTTGCCTGCATATATGTATATGCATCCCATATGAGGAGTGCCTACAAAGGTCAAAAGATTCCCTGGAACTTGAGGTACAGACAGTTATGAGCTCCATAAGGGTGCTGGGAGTTGAACCCAGATCATTTGAACTGTCTCTCCAGATCCAGTAAGGATTGCTTCTATTGATACAGTAGCATAACACTCTACCTTTTCTACCTTAGAAAATTACATTTATGATATGTTGCAGAATATGTAAATCATATTTTTGCATGTTAGTTTCACTTAGTAGTTGAAAGGCTGTTTCTCAAGTGGGAATTTACAAAGTATTTCATGATAATGTAAAATTACAGTGAGCTAAAATTTGAATGTATAAGTGTATTAATATTGTTGGAGTCTTCTATAAATTTATTTCTTCAGTTGGAGTCTTCTATAAATTTATTTCTTCAGTTGGAGTCTTCTATAAATTTATTTCTTCAGTTATCGTCATAAGTTTTCCCATTCTAAATCTTCAGATACATATAATGATAAAAATTACTCCTAAGATCATTTTCTTTTTTTCCATTTTTTATTTAAATTAGAAACAAGATTATTTTACATGTCTATTCCAGTTCCCTCTCCCACCCCTCCTCCCTTACTCCCCCCCCAACACACAACTAACACCCTACCTATCCCATACCTTTTCTGCTCCCCCTGGAGGGTGAGGCCTCCCATAGGGGGTCTTCAGAGTCTGTCATATCCTTTGGGATAGGGCCTAAGGCCCACCCTCCCCTTGTGTCTAGGATCAGGGAGTTTCCGTCTATGTGGAATGGGCTCCTAAAGTCTATTCCTATGCTAGGGATAAGTACTCATCTACTACAAGAGGCCCCATAGATTTCCCAGGATTCCTCACTGACATCCACATTCATAGGGTCTTGATCAGTCCCATGCTAGTTTCTCAGCTATCAGGCTGGGAAACAAGAGTTCCCCCTTGTTCAGGTCTGCTGTTTCTGTGGGTTTCACCAGTGTGGTCTTGACCCCTTTGCTCATCACTTCTCCTCTGCAACTGGATTGGAGGGATAGCTCAGCCATTAAAGGCTAGGCTCACAACCAAAAATATAAGCTCATTTTCTTACATGATAGATCTGAAAGGCAATGTAACTTCTATGCTACATATTCTTCTCTCTTGTTTGTTTTATCATCTAACCTGTTCATTAGAACCTTTCACTGATAATTTCCAACTCTGCTTCCTACAAATCATGCTTTGCTATATGCATAAGATATCATTAAGATAGTGCATAGATTGATACATGATGGGCATAAAAAAACTTCTTTATTAACTACTTTCTATAGTGACAGGTGTTAAACTGTAGACCCTAGTTCTCCAACAGCCAGATCATATACATACCTGTGTCTGTATATGTGTGCGTGTGCGTGTGCGTGTGCGTGCGCATGTATGTGTGTGAGTGAATGTATGAGTGTGTGTGTGTGTGTGTGTGTGTGTGTGTGTGTGTGTGTAACAAAGAGTTGGAAAGTCACAGGCTTGAGTTTTGAGTTTACATTTTGCTTTTAACTTTAAGTAAAGTTGGAATTCGAGTGATATTGCTAGTTGTATTATTTATTTATTTTGGGTACACTGATCTCATTATTGATTGCTCAATAACTTAACACTTCCCTGTCTCTACTTTCCTCTCAATATTTTTAATTTAACTTAAAAATTTCAATGCAATCTAAAAGATCATGGCATATACAATAAATATGTGCATTTATTGTTAAAATAATTTTAAGATATGTAATATTTGATTGTCAGTTATACATAGGTAATACATAAACAGAAAGGAAAAAATAAAAATTCTCAAACAGAAAATCTTCTGGATTGTAGTAAGCACTAAGCATAAAGAAATCAACGCAAATAATATTTCAGAAAACAATAAAAACACTTAATTACCTAATACACAGGAAATCATCTACTATTTAAGGTTAGGGAATCTTCATTTCATGATGATGTTTTTACTCTCATCCTGTCACTCCCTGCCATTTGTATATCACAATGACTCAGTCATTCCAGTGTTTTAGGAGGTAAAATGGCTAACAGGAGACTGGATAGATCAGGGCAAGTGTGGAGGGACGACATTTTGTCCTGATGTTTGATTACACAGTACCTGTCTTCAAATGTGTGATCCACACTTGAGTAGAGTGAGTTAACAACCATTTTTTCCAAGGATAAGTGAATTTTAAATCATCTTAAAAGTTGATGAAATCCAATGATGATCTAATAAGGAATGTGTTGACTCTTTAGAACTCATTTTCCACCAAACTGGCAAGCTATCATGATTAAGTCTCCCAATTGCTGAAAGTGGTTTAAGGATTCATTGAGGTTCGTGGGAGCATTTGTAATCGAATACGGAGAAAATTATTTGTTGTTATATTTAAATTTTAGTACTTAAGGACAGGAGAGATGTCTTACTGTTCAGAAGTGCTCCCTGCACCTTTGGAGGATAAGAGTAGAACACCTTGACTATTACTATGACTGCTTAATTTGTAGATCATAGGATGCAATTGGGAGATTTGGGAATTCTAGAGTAATGTATAAATTAAGCCTCAAATGTTATAGATAAAAAGACATTCGAAACTCTTTTGATTTGGTAGTTTTGAAACAGTAGATTCTTTTTTTTTTTTTTTTTTTTTGGTTTTTCAAGACAGGGTTTCTCTGTATAGCTTTGGAGCCTATCCTGGCACTCGCTCTGGAGACCAGGCTGGCCTCAAACTCACAGAGATCCCCCTGCATCTGCCTCTTGAGTGCTGGGATAAAAGGCATGTGCCACCAATGCCCGGTGAAACAGTAGATTCTTATCTTTATTATCTGAAAAAAGTTCTTATGTTCAATTGATCTGTTTATAATTGTAATCATGTACTACTGCATAATTACTGTAAGTACATGTAATCAGCTATAATATATAATCACGAAATGGAGTCATTATAAAATAAGTTCTTGTGAATCTCAATGTCATACTTCATACATGTGTAGAAGATAAATATTATTTGCATTTGGGCTGGAAAAAAACAAACAAATAAACAAAAAACTTGGTTCCCAGAACCCACACCAGGCACTTTGGAACAGCAACTTCACACCCAGGGAAACTGCTTCCCTCTGCTGGCCTCTCCAGGCACTTCATGCACATATGATATTTTCTTCTTTTTCCTCCACAAGAATAAATGAAATTAAAAGTTAATGAAAAGAAAATCTTAGTGGTTAAGTCATTGATGGTTTTCAATAACTTTAGTTTTAAAAATTATAGTATATTGAACATTTGATGCTTTCATATGGATTTATTTTTATATTACATCTTTTATAACTTCTTACTCAATTTATTCATTATCCAAATAGTCTTCCTTATTATTTCCAGGCTGTCAATCTCCAATTTATTCTTTTCTTATTACACTGGCTAGAATTTCTACTGTAATAATGAGAGAAAGTACAAAAACAGACATGTGATAGTACTTGAAAAGAACAAAGAGGAAATATCCTGGGGCTCATTGTTAAGTGCTTTAGTCAATTTATATTACCATCTTTAAGTAGTTTTTTTCTAATATGTCTTTGTTGAGAATTTTGTAATATTCATTCATGGAAATTGGAATTAGGCAAATAATTTTTTGTCTACTGAGATAATTACATGAGGTTATTTTCAATGATTGATATTTTAATGTTAAATCAACCCGATTTGTCTCAAATAAACCACATTTAGTAATAATGTGTTATATCAATGGGAATATTGTTTCTGTTTTCCAATCAATTGTTATGTCTGCTCTCATTGTACATATTGATCTGTAATTTCGGCTTTACCCAATTTATTTTGTCTAGGGAAATATCCTATTATTAAAAACAGAACTGTGAAAACACAAATATCCTATTATTAAAAACAGAACTGTGAAAACACCGAATGTCATCAAGTAGCAAACCATAAACACCTTAAAATATCTAAGAGCAACAATCACCAATTTTTGTTTGTTTGTTTTTATTTTCTAGAAGACACAGTCTCACTGGTTCCATGGCTGTCCTGGAACTTCCTCTGTATGAACAGGTTGGCCTTGAACTCAGAGAGACCCACTTCTACCTCCTGAGTGGTGGGATTAAAGGCATATGCTACAAAATTTTACTTGGAACATTTCAATTTAAGAAACTCATAGAGAAAAGAGAATGTCAAGAATCTCAGTCACAACAAGCAGACAAACCACAGCAAGGGAGGAAGGACACTAGGACACACTTGATACCTGCCTCAGTGAGTGTTTTGTTCCTTGGAACACAGTTTGCTTGAGGTTTTCCTCTGAAGCTTCCACTCCATGACAGTAACTTACACTTTTCTTCTTACTCCTGCTCAAGGAAATACTTGCAGGCATTTTATCTTGATAGTTCTTTAACTTGCTCAGGTCCCTGTTTAGAGAATGCTATTTGCCCAGGATAGCATGTTGCTTTCCTTCCAAGGTTAAATGCTTAGCTGCTGAATGTCTTCTAATGGGTGGGGTGTAACTAGGTACTCACTAATTAGGATTATACATATTATATATTTTCATTTAAGTGTGTTAATTCCTCCCTTAATTAACCATCAGTGACTTTTATTGAATCACATTCTGTACTTAATTAGTTTTTTTTGAATTGAAGCTATTCCAATTTGATGTAACTGTAGAAATACCTTGTGGACATTTGACTAATACTCTAATTAAAGCACAGAGTCATATGAATGACATACTTTTTAACATGGATATTTATCAGCTATTTATAATTATCTCTTTTGGATAAGATTTTGGTAAAATTATGAGTAGCAAATAGGCTTTATAATCATATAAAACTAATAAAGTGTGCTTCATCTACTTAATTTTCTTATGCTATTTTTGTTTGAGGACAAAGTCACCTCATTTGATCATACAAACCTACAACTGCAAGACAATTTCAAAGAATTGAATATATGAGTATTTTAGTATTGTTCTTGGGAAGATAGTTTCCTTGTTCTTACTATATTTTCACATAAGTTTTGAGTAAATTTTCCAAGTGAACAAATAATTGCTTAAAATACACACAAGTGGGGTCCAAATTAATAAGTTAGCTTATTTGTTTCTATATTTAAGGTCACTGTATGAACATAGCCCAAGAGTAATTCAATAAAAAGTCTGCATGTGAGAATGTTCCCTTAAGCATGAAAGTGAATGTAACATGGTTTATTTCTGAATCTTTCTGGAATTCTTTATTAACAAAGGGCACCAGAACTAATACTTTAGACTCTGCATTGTGAATATAACAGTGTGCAACCCACACCTATTTGCCCATTGTCAAGCCTACGTGACAGCCGCAAACCATGTAAGTACATGAGCATACATTCATGTTCTATGGGATTGTGAACTCCTAACTCCTAACTCATATAAGAAAACGGCCATATGAGAAATGGAATGTGGCTGGTTAATAGAATCTACTTTAACCTTTGCAGACTCTCTGCAAAGATTTTGATAGACATCAAAGTAAGTTCCTGCCTTTCTCCCTAGGTAAAATTCAAATACTATGAATAAATATTAGATCTCACTCACAAGGATGCTGAATGTCACGTTGAGTGTCATTATCTTTGGATAAGATGCCAAGATATCTTGGATGTTTGTGGTATTCTTATTAAATGGGTAGAAAGTGATTTGTTACTGTTTCTCCATAACAATTTAAGAAATGTGGTCTTTCCATTTTCATTGTATTTTGGAAAGTCCATGTACTGGTGAATTTTTAATGTATTGCAAATTCACTGCATTGGAGGATTAAGAAAAGAATTCAGTGAGCCGAGAATACATTGTGATGTGACAGTTATATGGAGAATTAGAGAGCAAAATGGGCAATAGCAATTTTTCTTTCAGTTTGTTTATTTTTTTGTTGTTGTTGTTTTGTTTTTTTGTTTTCGAGACAGGGTTTCTCTGTGTAGCTTTAAAGCCTATCCTGGCACTCTCTCTGGAAACCAGGCTGGCCTCCAACTCACAGAGATCCGCCTGCCTCTGCCTCCCGAGTGCTGGGATTAAAGGCGTGCATCACCGGTGGACAATAGGTTTTTTATGTGTTTTTCTAATTAATTTTTATTATATTTATTCAGAGTTTGGTGTTTTGGGGTGCATGTGTGGGGGTGTGCCTATGTTCCTAAGCATACATATGGAGACCAGGGATAACTCAAAGGAGCCTGTTCTTTCCTCACCATGTGGGTCCTTCGGACTGAACAGAGGTCAGAGGTCATCAGTCTTGCTGACCCAAGAATATTTGCTCTTAAAGCTTTATTGCCACTTTGGATTGTGCCAAGGATAAATCATTTCACCTTCATTCCCCCCCCACACACCCAGTAACTGGTAAAATGAGCATGTTAGCTAGATTTTACCCACCAGAGGATACTTCATAAGGCAGATAATTAAAAGGCTGGCAAGTGCTCTTTAATTAGTGTGGTTACACAATTACCAAGGAATAATTGCCCTTCACTAAACATGCAATGTCCAGAAGTTAATGGTGTTGCCAGGTTCCCAGGACTACTGGTAAAGGACTCCACTCAGAGCACTAAGGACATCCATTTTAAAATATTTATGAGGCATCAAAGTTCCCAAACCTATGACACTGTATAGAGTTCCTTCCACTCCATGGAGTCAGACTCAGCACTGTTATTTGTTCAGTCCCTAGAGGCTGGTAGAATGATGTGCCCCTGACCCAGCCTCAGACCACAGAAGTATCAGGGCCATGGCAGAATGCTGGGGCTGCTAGACATGTTTGTTTGCATAACAATATCTCTGATAGTCCATATTTTTCTGACATTTTATATCATTTTGGATATGGTTTTATACCAACCCCATTTTCAGAGGCAGGCTCGCTGTCTGCCAGTGTCAGGAATTTCAGCTCAAATAACTATAATGCTCTATCATGGTACTGCACCCTTTTGAGACCCTGGCTACCAATTTATCCAACAAGGAAACCATACCAAATCTTTGAGCACTCAAAGCAGCTTGCTAGGTAATAGTTACTAAATTTGAATTTTGAAAATGTTTCAGAAAATGAGAATAAGATAAAAAAGCAATGTAAATAAATTCTGGTAAAAATCCACATAAAACATACCTACCCCACACACGTGTATGTGTCATGACCATACACATGTATATGCATCCAGCACATATCTATAGACCTGTGAACACACAGAGTGCACAACTTGTCCAATTTGTTCCATCATTGATGAGATGGCAATTGGCAAGTTCAAAGAAAAAAATGATAGAGAAGATCGTGAGTTTTCCTGCACAATAGGCAAGTTACCATTTAGACAATTGCTCTATTATTTGGGATCTGGATCCTGTGTGTGTGTGTGTGTGTGTGTGTGTGTGTGTGTGTATGTCGTGCATAAAAGTGTGTGGTCATGGCCTATATATATTATGAAAATGTGTTTGACCAACAGCACCAGGATGATAATTACTATGATATTAAGTAATTATTTCTTTTTGGTCCAAAGAGCTATTTTCCCTCATTTACATAAATGCTTTGAATCACGTTAAGCACAGAACTAATGTTGATTTTGAACTATGTTTTCCAAATCTAGATCTCTTTTTTACTCCTTTTTAAGATATAAAGAGGATAAAATGTGACACATTTCTCAAAAACAGCATGTTTATTAAGTTACCCTTTGGGACATCTCACTTACAATTAGCACAGGGTGCAGAGGCTAGTGTTTAGGAGGATCTCTGCACATGGAAATTCCCTCCCTCCTTCCCTTTCTCCAGCCCACATATTACTCCCATGTTTAGTTTTATTCACCTTCCTTCTGTATAGACATATTATTATTCTGAAATGGTAAAAAAATAGAAAAGAAAAGAAAACTGAAACTAATCTGTCTAAACCAGGTCTTATGCTTCACTGCAGCAACACCAGCATGCAGTAGGGTGGGTGGGGAGGGCGGGGGATACAACAGGATGGCTAGGCTGAGGTCAGCCTGATCTACACAAAAGACTATGCCTCAAAAACAGAAACAAAAGCAAGGTAAGCAAGCAAACAAAAAACCAGTATAGTCTCCCTAGTTGGTAAATACTCTTGTGTTATTCTCTATTCTCTCCCCAACCCCCCGCATACACACGCATACACACACAGACATACCACCCCACATTGCTATTTTCAAAGCATACTATATAATCATAACCCACATTCCATTCACCTTAATATTTAAGAGAGTAAAATCAGTATCTCTTTTAGTGCCCCTGTCCATTGTTTTCTCTGAACAAGATTTAACTTGATGAACACTTGTTACAGAAATGAACCTTTGCCAAAGTGCCGTTTCTATGTGACTCTCTGCACTAAGTCCTGCTTCAGCGTTTGCTTCAGAGGTGCTGCTTTGGAATTCTGTCCTCACAATTATGATCCCAGGGCTGGAGAGGCAGAAGTAGTTCAGTCATTGGGGTCTGTTGGCCAGGCAACCTATCCTGCTTAGTGTGTTGCAGGCCTGGAGAGACCCTGTCTCAAGGTGGGTAGTGCAGGAAGAATGATACCTGAGGTTGCTTTTCTAGTCTCCATACAGTCATATATATTTACAACCTACAAATATAAACATGCACACATATAAGCACACAGTATATTGTTCATTAAGTGAAATAAATATGATACAATACTGGATTAATTTATGTTGATCAACTGGTGAGACCATTTAGTGATGTTTTTTGAAATTCTTTTATTGTTTGTAAGTTTCATAATTTAAAAAAGTAAAAACTTACATGACCAAATTTTTTACCTGAGTACATGTCTGTCATACATGCCTGGTCTCTTCAGAAGTCAGAGGACAGTGTTAGATACCCTGGGATTGGACTTACGGACAGCTATGGGCCTCCATGTGGGTACAGAGCATGAGACCATGGTCTTCTAGAATAGCAGCTCTTATCATGAGTCCCTCTCTACAGCCCAGTTTCATAAACTTATACAATGGGATCCATTTCATTCTCCCTTCCCATCTCTTACTCTGCTCCCTCTCCAATCTTATCTACATACTTTCCCCTTTTGGTTTTGTGTGTGGCATACTGAATTTAATAATAATTTCTTTCCTGAGAGTCAGTGGAAGGTTATTTCTATGAGAAAAAGTGACTTATTGGTGGCTACAAGACTGAAGAAAATGATACCCCATTCTCCAACAGCTAGTAATGCCCTAAGGACCTGTGCTGCCTCATGGGTCCCTCACCTATCCATTAAGAAAGATCAAAGGGCTCTGTTGTTCTCACCTGAGCCAGAGATCGGGGAGATATACAGGTG